CCGGCGAGGCCCTCCTTGTGGCCAGCCAGTGTCCTCCCTGCCACGTCTCTGTCTGTATTGGTCCTTCCCCGGGGTTCCTGTGAGGAGGCTGAATCTTGCTTGTTTTGTTGTTAGTTTTTTTTTTTTTTTTTTTTTAAGATTTTTATTTATTTATTTGTAAGTCAGAGCTACACAGAAAGAGAAGAGACAGAGAGAGAGAGAGAGGTCCTCCATCCACTGTTTCACTCCCCAGATGGTTGCAACAGTCAAAGCTGGGCCAGGCCAAAGCCAGGAGCTTCATCTGGGAGTCACAGTGGTGCAGGGGCTCAAGGTCTTGAGCCATCTTCTGCTGTCTTCCCAGGTGCCATTAGCAGGGAGCTGCGTCAGAAGTGGAGCAGTCAGGACTCAAACTGGCACCCATATAGGATGCCAGCATTGCGAACAGCAGTCCAGTCTGCTGTACCACAGCGCTGGCCCCTGTTTATTTATTTTTTTAATGTATTTATATAGAGGCTAGTGCTGTGGCATAGTGGGTAAAGCCACCAACTGCAGTTCTGGCATCCCATATGGGCACTGGTTTGAGTCCCAGCTGCTCCACTTCTGATCCAGCTCTCTTCTGTGGCCTGGGAAAGCAGTAGAAGAGAGCCCAAGTTCTTGGGCCTCTGCACCTGTGTGGGAGACCCAGCAGAAGCTCCTGACTCCTGACTCCTGGCTTCACATCAGCCTAGCTCTGCCGTTGCAACAATTTGGGGAGTGAATCAGTGGATTGAAGATCTCTCTCTCTCTCTCTTTCTGTCTGACTCTGACACTTTGTAACTCTGCATTTGAAATAAATAAATAAATCCTAAAAAAAGAACAAACAAACCACATACACACACACACGCACACACACACACACACACACAACCTGCCCTCCTAGGCATATCTAATACTTTAAAAAAAACTGAAAAATATTTATATAAAAGATGAATCTCACTTTTAAGTGATAGCCTGAGGTTACTAGATTTACAAGTAGTAGAAAAGCCAGAAATAGAAATTGCTGACTTTTAAAATTTACTGTTCTGTATCCTGTTGTCAAGCATGTCAGTATTTTAATTATTTTTGATTGTATTTGTTTTTATATAAGTGTGAATATATTTCTTTTCAACATTTTTTAGGGAAAATTTTTTCTGGAAGATCCTACTGGAACAGTACAACTAGATCTTACTAAGGCTATATCCTTTCCTTTTAAAGTCTACATTACATGAATTGGGGAAAATGATAATAAGTAATGTTCAAATGTATCTGCTTAGGTTGCCAGTCTAACTTGCATCTGTGGTAGCTGAGAAAGATAGAGACATAATCCTACACAGGCACACAGCAGCTTTAATTTCCCCTCCGTGGAGAATCCGTACACATCACTGAAGAAGGTCGTAACGTGTTAAGAGTGCTCTAAACTATGGGTAATACCAGGCAACAACTTGAGTTAAACATGGGGACACTCAGACCCCAAATTGTTCAAAGCTGTGGCCTAAGGTATGGTCAGTCCACAGTTTCAGCTGTGAAGAATGTGAAGTCTTAAATCTGGTATTTTGAATCTGTTATTAGGCCTCAGAACACGTGTTTCTCACTGCTCCACACACAGGAAAATAACTGTTTTCCTCAGCTGCTGTGCACCAGTTCCATAGTGGTCTCTACACAGAGACTTGCTTTGTCTTAGCAGAAGGTAAGTCAGGTGCTCTTTTCCTGTCCTCATTCATGTATCGTTAAAACTGTTTCTGCAATGGATAAAAAAGTTAATTTGATTGTGAGAACATTGATTATGAAAGAGCATTTTTGGAAACATCAAATAATTCTTAGATTGAGAAAAGGCTAATAGGAACCTTTCTGGGGTGATCAAAATGTTCCAAAATTAGTGGTGACAGCTGCACAACTTATAAATATTGTGAAAGCCACAGAATTGTGCCCTTTAGATTGAGAGTGAATTGTATGGTATGGAAATTATATCCCGATTATTATATGTGAATTATATCCCAATAAAACTAAAAAAAAAAAAAAAAAAGCCCAAAGCAGGACTTTGCTTAGGGTAATAAAGTAAACATTTTCTAATCTATGTGTCTAACCTCTCTGTATGCCAACAGATGAAATTGAAAAGTGAAATGTTACTTCTGAGTCATTTTACTTCCAAGTTCATTCCTATTTAATGAACTTTAATCAGTTCTTATTTTTATTGGAAAGGCAGACACATGCACACAGACATATTCCCCCATCAATTGGTGCACTCCCCATGTGCCTGCAACAGCCAGGTTTGGGTCAAACTGAAGCTAGGATCTCAGAACTGAATCTAGGTCTCCCCTGTGAGTAGCAGAGATCCATTTACTTGAGCCATCACCTGCTGCCTCCCAGGGTGCATATTAACAAGCACCTAGAATCACATGCAATACAAGACTCCAACCCAGGTACTCCAATATCGGATGTGGGTGTCCCAAGCCATTTCTTAACCTCTGTGCCAAAAAGCCACTTCTATGTAATGAACTTTTATTTATAGAACTGAGACTTCAAATAGATCCGAAATTGTTATCAGCCGAGTGAGATTTGCAACTTCTACAGTTTAGTTCATAGCACATGAGACTCTGGTATTTTTGCTTTGTGTATCATCATTTTTTTTTTCTTTCAAACAAGAATTGGACAAATGAAAATGATTTGTTACCTTTTTTCAGGTTGGTTTGAAGATCAAGTGTTTCATGTCAATGCCTTTGGATTTCCACCCACTGAGCCCTCTAGTACCACCAGGTATAAAATGTTTGATTGAATTTTATAGGAATTTTGTGATGCTGGGAGTAGCAAATGTTAGATATCATATTGTATTTATTACAAGATCTTAGATTTTGTATCAAAATGGAAAGTAAGAAGACTGGCTTTTGTATGCAATGTAAAAATTGGTGGATTGGCTCAAAGCTAGTTATAATATCATCTTTTTACTTCGGCTTTAATTGGGAAAGATTTCCCATCTCTCTGTCTTGCTTTAGAAGATTTCTCATAAAAGTCTAGATTCCTGAATTCTCTTGAACAATCAGATCTGCCAGTAAAGTGCCTGAATTCTCACCTGGCAGTAGTTACAGAGCGGTGATAGCCCAGGTTGGGTACGACACATATACGTTCCTTGGTTGAGATCAGTTGTCCGCTACTTGGATATTTAGCGTTACCTTCCTGGAGCCTGTAAGCATTTGAATTTGCTGCTACTGAGCAAGTTAAAGTAGTTGCTTTCTAACTTTGAGATTCTATGGTGATGGTGACCATTGCAAACAGAAGGGTAAGGATTAAGATTCTAGTCCTAATATGCCTATAGACTCTGGGTGCTAGGCCCATGTTTTCTGGTTGGTGGTCACTGGCAGGTCAGCTTTTGCATAGCTTTTATTCTTTCTATGGCGGCTACCAGGGGAAGGTGTTGACCATCCTAAGAGTACAACCACTTATCAAGCCAGCTCATCTTTGAGTGAGAGCTTCTGGTGCCAGTTTTGACTTTTGACAACAAGGTTAGGTTTTCTTTGGAACGTATATAATGGGGAAATCAAACCTCTTTTGGCTTCTCCCTGACGGGTTGTAACATTTAAGCTGTGCACGTGTGAGGGGTCAGCTAGTGTAGAATGGGAGTAGTGTAGTAGAGGCTGGGAGTGCGTTGGTTATCCCAGATTCCTGCTGACCCTTTCTTGACAAACTTTAAGGTCGCTTCCAATTTTTCACAGTACTGGGATATAAGTTAGTCTTTGTATAAATCCTTGTTCCTTGGGAGTAAACATTCTGGGAGTGAAATTGCTTGGGCAGATTTCTAGAAGTGGAGTTGCTTGGGCAAATGGTTAATGTTCATTTTGAGGCTTCTGTTAAGTAGTTAAAATTAAGAACTCATTCCCCCCCCCCTTTTTTTTTTTAAGATTTATTTATTTATTTGAAAGAGTTACAGAGAGGTAGAGACAGAGAGAGAGGTCTTCTATCTGCTGGTTCACTCCCCAACTGGCTGCAACGGCCAGAGCTGTGCCCATCTGAAGCCAGGAGCCAGGAGCTTCCTCCGGGTCTCCCACGTGGGTGCAGCGCCCAAGGACGTGGGCCATTCTCTTCTGCTTTCCCAGGCCATGGCAGAGAGTTGGATTGGAAGTGGAGCAGCCAGGACTAGAACCGGTGCCCATATGGGATGCCGGCGCTTAAGGCCAGGGCTTTAACCCGCTGCGCCACAGCGCCAGCCCCTCTCCTACTTTCAACTTAAAAGGAAATATTTAATATTTGCTTTAATAGATTTTTTTATATAAAATTATTGGGGCCAGCACTGTGGCATAGTATGTTAAGTCTCCACCTCTGGTGGCAGCATCCCATATGGGTGCTGGTTCAAGTCCTGGCTGCTCCGCTTCTGATCCAGCATCCTGCTAATGTCCTGGGAAAGCAGTGGAGGATGGCCCAAGTGCTTGGACCCCTGCACCCATGTGGGAGACCTGGAAGAAACTCCTGGCTCTTGCCTTCGGATCAGCCTAGTTCTAGCCTTTGCAACCATTTGGGGGAGTGAATGAGCTGATGGAAGACCTTTCTCTCTGTCTCTCCCTCTTTCTGTCTATAACTCTTTCTCTCAAATAAATAATAGATCTTTAAAAATAAAATAGATAGTACATTAGTACTACTCATGATGGAAAATAATGTCATTACATAAAAAGAAGCTATGTGTAAAATTATTGGGAAATTATTGGGAAGATATTTCAATAGACTGTCACAGCAGGTAGTAATTTTGTGACTTATAATTACATAGGGCATACTATGGGAATATTAATTTTTTTGGAGGACCTTCTAGTACATCAGTGAAGACTTCTGCAAAACTAAAACAACTAGAAGATGAGAATAAAGATGCCATGTTTGTGTTCATATCTGATGTATGGTTGGACCAAGTAGAAGTATTGGAAAAACTTCACACAATGTTCTCTGGTAGGTGTTACATTTTTTTCTTTTCTTTTCTGAACAATTATGAGGATTAACGTCTTAAAACTAAATGCTTTTAAAAAAGTATCTTTTTTTATCTGTAAAAACTGAATCAGAAGTGAGAGATTTAAAATAAGGTTTTTTTTTAAAAATTATTTATTTGAAATGCAGAGCTAGAGAGACAGTGAGAGACAGAGATAGAAAGGGAGAGAGATACTTTCCATCCACTGGTTCATTTCCCAAATAGCCACAAGAGCCAGGGCTGGGCCAGGCCAAAGCCAAGACCCTGGAATTCCATTCGAGTCTCCCAGTGGGTGGCAGGGGCCCAAGAACTTGGGCCATCTTCTGCTACCTTCCCAGGTGCATTAGCAGGGAACTAGATTGAAAGTTGAGCAGCCAGGACTCAAATCTGTGCCCATATCAGATGCCACAATGCCAGCCCCAGGTTTCATTTTAAAGATTTAGCTTTTGGGGCCAGTGCTGTGGCACAATAAATTAAGCCTCTGCCTGCAGCGCCATCATCCCATATGGGCACCAGTTCAATTTCCAGGAGCTCCTCTTCCAGTCCAGCTTCCTGCTGATGGCCTGGGAAAGCAGTAGAAGACGGTCCAAGTGCTTGGGCCCCTGTACCCACATGGGAGACCCAGAAGAAGTTCTTGGTTCCTGACTTTGGATCAGCACAGCTCCGGCCGTCGTGGCCATGTGGGGAGTGAACCAGCAGGTGGAAGACTCTCTTTCTCTCTGTCTCCCTCTCTGTAACTTTTACCTCTCAAATAAATTAATAAATCCTTAAAAAATCAGCTTTTTACATTTGAAAAATGTGTGAATGTGTGTGTGTGGTGTGTTCATTGATAAGTAAGAATTAATCCTGAGTTTAAAACAGAGGAGATAAGAACTTGGGTTTTGGAATCTAGTAAGATTGGCTATAGGTTACTTAAAGCTTATAGGGATGTTTTGAAGATTAAGTAAGCCAGTGAAGGAACTGGCACATAGTAGGTGATCAATAAGTGGTACTGTTGAACTATTATTTTAAATATTATTGTTATTAAAAGAATAAAAACAGGTTTACAAGATTTTATCTTGATTTCTAGACTATAGAAGTAATGCTCATTTATTCTTTTAATTTTAGGCTATTCACCAGCACCTCCAACCTGCTTTATTCTTTGTGGTAATTTTTCATCGGCACCATATGGAAAAAATCAAGTTCAAGCTTTAAAAGGTATTGAGGATCCGTTTAATAAGAAATGTTTCTATACGTATATAAACTAAATTAACAAGAAATCCATCATAATATTTTCATTTAATTCAATAGATATAGGCTGTATTTAATCAAATATAATTTGATTTTTAGTGTTTAATGTAAATTCAATTTAATATCTCTTTAAAATTTTAGATGCCCTAAAAACTTTGGCAGACATAATATGTGAATACCCAAATATTCACCAAAGGTAATGATCTATACTGCTGTATTTTTTATTCAGATTGTTTTATTTAAAAGCATAAATTAATCCTAAGGTTTACATCTATGCTTATTAAGAAATGAATGGGGGGCCGGTGCTGTCGTGTGGCAGGTTAAAGCCACAGCCTGCAGCACCCGCATCCCATATAGGCACTGGTTCAAGTCCTGGCTGCTCCACTTCAGATCCAGCTCCCTGCTAATGCACCTGAGAAAGCAGTGGGTGATGGCCCAAGTGTTTGGGACTCTGCTCCTAGCTCCTGGCTTTGGCCTGGCCCAGACCTGGCCATTGCGACTATTTGAAGAGAGAACCAGCAGATGAAAATCTCTCTCTTTGTCTCTTCTTCTCTCTTTCTCTAACTCTCCTTTTCTTTTCTTTTTTGACAGGCAGAGTTAGACAGTGAGAGAGAGAGAGAGACAGAGAGAAAGGTCTTCCTTCTGTTGGTTCACCCCTAAATGGCCACTATGGCCGTGGGGCTGCATCAATCCGAAGCCAGGAGCCAGGTGCTTCCTCCTGGCCTCCCATTCGGGTGCAGGGCCCAAGAACGTGGGCCACCCTCCACTGCACTCCCGGGCCACACCAGAGAGCTGGACTGGAAGAGGAGCTACCAGGACAGAATCCAGTGCCTCAACCGGGACTAGAACCCAGGGTGCCGGCGCCACAGGTGGAGGATTAGCCTAGTAAGCCACAGCGCCGGCCCTAACTCTGCTTTTCAAATAAATAAATAAATAATTTTTTTTTGGGAAAAAAAGTCTAATGGTAGAAAGGGAAAATTAAGAAAATTAAAGGGGCTAAGAAATAAGATTGTCCTCATGTCATAATAATGTATGTTACTGTACTAGAAATTTATAATGAAAAGGTCAAAAGGAGTGATAATAATTTGAGTTCTTTGGTGATATTAAGGATCTAGAGCTTCACTCTTCAACCTAATGGTCACTAGCCACACGTATCTCTTTGCATTTTTATATTTAAGGTTACATTAACTAAAGTTAAATAAAATTTAAAATTCAACCATCAGCCACGCCAGCTACTGGCAGTGTGCTTGGGCCAGATACAGGACATTTCTGTCATCACTGTGTTGGACCGTGTTGGTCTGGAGACTTTTACTACTTCGCTGATTTGTGGGGTTTTTTGTTTTAATTTTTATGTATTTTTTTAATTTGAAAGGGAGAGACTGAGAGGCAAAGAGAAATGTCCCATCCACTGATTTATGCCCCACATGCCTGCACTAGCCAGAGCTGGACCAAGCTGAAGCTAGGAGCCTAGAACTCCATTGGGTTTTCCATGTGGGTGGTAGAGACCCAATTACTTGAGCCAGCACCTGCTGCCTGCAACAGTGCACATTAGCAGGAAGCGGAGGTTGGGAGCAAAGCCAGGACTCAAACCCAGGCTCTCCACTATGGGATGCAGGTGTTCCAAGTGACCTCTCAACTTCTAGGCTAAATATCTGCCTCAGTAGTTCATTTATTTACTTGAGAGGCAGAGTTACAGAGAGAGGGAGAGAGAGATCTTCCCTCCACTGGTTCTCTCCCCAAATGGTGGCAACAACTGGAGCTGGGCCAATCTGAAGCCAGGTGCCAGGAGTTTCTTCCACATCTCCCATGTGGGTGCACGGGCCCAAGCACTTAGGCCATCCTCCACTGCTTTCCCAGGCTGTTAGCAGGGAGCTGGATTAGAAGTTTAGCAGCCGGGACTGGAATCAGTGCCCTGAATGGGATGTTGGCTCTGCAGAAGGAGGCTTAGCCTACTATTGCCACGGCACCGGCTCCTAAAACTTAGTTTTAAAAAAAATTCATGGCTGGTGCCGCTACTCACTTGGTTAATCCTCTGCCTGTGGCAAATGACACCCCAGGTTCTAGTCCTGGTTGGGGCGCCGGATTCTGTCCCGGTTGCTCCTCTTCTAGTCCAGCTCTCTGCTGTGGCCCGGGAGGGCAGTGGAGGATGGCCCAAGTGCTTGGGAGGACTCGCATGGGAGGCTGGGAGGAGGCGCCTGGCTCCTGGCTTCAGATCGGCGCAGCACATTGGCCATGGCGGCCATTTGGGGGGGTGAACCAACGGAAGGAAGACCTTTCTGTCTCTCTCTCTCACTGTCTAACTCTGCCTGTCAAAAAAAAAAAAAAAAAAAAATTCATAACTCCTTAAAGGCAAAGATTTGTTGTTTAGGCTACTGTATGTATTTTTTTCTTAATCAATTATGTTGAATTTTGTTGCAGTAGTCGTTTTGTGTTTGTACCTGGTCCAGAAGATCCTGGATTTGGTTCCATCTTACCAAGGTAAGTGTGATTCAAGTATCTGCAAATCTAGAAAGTTTTATAAAATTGTAAAAATACGTTCTGTAGTAAATAACTTGTTTTCACAGGCCGCCACTTGCTGACAGCATCACTAATGAATTCAGACAGAGAGTACCATTTTCAGTTTTTACCACTAATCCTTGCAGGTAAATAACAGCATATTTTAAGCTTTTTTCCTTTCATTTAAAATATAAAAAAAAAATTCTTTTTTTTTTTTTTTTTTGTGATGTTTTTATTGGGGCAAGGACACAGGGCGGGAAAGGGTACCCCTCGCAGGTGCAGGGAATGTCCGTGCTTGTCAGTCTTCCTGGGATGCTTTATGGAGCTTTTTTTTTTTCTTGGCACTGCTCTTGCTGGGGGCGGCCTCCTCAGGCCCTTCCTCCTTGGCGGACTATTTCCTCTTTTTCTTGGGGACCTTCCTGGTGCCCGTCTCTTCCACATCATTCACAAAAATTCTAATATCTGATTTTTGACTGTTAATGAATAAAACCAAAAGGAAAATTCCTTTTATCTACTTTAGGTTTCCTGAAACTTGAACATAGTTTAACTATATTAAGTAATTCACTAATAATGATGTTGATGCTTGAGTGATTGGATGAGTGGTGTAAAAATACTCTCCTTATGTGTCCTTTAAGCACAGTTACAGTGGAAGCATGAAGATTGCATAGTCACTGGTTGTGGTCATCACGTCATCATAGGCTTTTACCGAGGGAACACCCTAAGGGTCAGTCTTTGGTTCATTCTTTCCTGCCTATCTTCACTCCTTCAGGGAGTTTATCTACTCCTGTAGCTTTAAATGCCATCTCAGTATTGGCAGCTGTCACATTTCTGTCTCCAGCACAGACCTTTCTCCAGCCTTTGTGTCTCACTGCACACCCCGCAGCTTCTTGAGTGTCTAGTAGACACCTTGACCATGAACTTCTGATCTTCCTCCTCCGCCAGCACCGCGTTTACCAGCCTGTTGCATCCTAGTCCATGGCACCTTTTGTCTTCCAGTTTGGATGTTTTTCCTCACATGCAGTTTCTCAACAAGTCCTGTCGACTTGAAAATATTCGCAGAATCCGGCCACTCGTCTCTGCCTCGCGCTCTGTGACCAGCTGCCTGGAGTGCTGTGAAGCCTCCTACCCAGTCTCTTCCTTCTACCCCTTCCCCTCCGCACTCTGTTCTCGCCATCGTCGGAGTGAGGGCGGCAGCGCGCTCCCTCCCTGGCCCCGAGAGCGGTCGTTCAGTAGCAGCCCACGTCCTTGCAGTGCGCAGCAAGGCCTTGCGTTCCCTGCCCCCGTCAGCTCTGTCTCCCCCTCCAACCCTTTGCTCCCTCCGCCCTGCCTCCCTCTGGCCCTCCAGCGTGCCGGGCGTGCTCCAGCCTTCGGGCTTCCGTGTTCTCCCTCTGATCTGGGCCTGAGGAAGCCCTCGCACCAGTGAGCACGTGGCTCACTCATCCTCCTCACTGTAAGCCCTGCCTCCATTTTCATCCCAATACCCCAAGCTGCTGCACGTCCCCCGTCCCCCGTCTCCCACGGGAGCCCTCCTAGCCTGTCCTTTCTTTCTCCCATTACGTAGTCATTTTCCAGCACACTGGAGAAATACCAGGTTTTTGGTTTACTTTCTCTGCCACCCCTCGTTAGATCATAAACTGCAGGAGGGCCAGGGTTTTTGTTCTGTTCGTTCACTCCTAGAACAGCGCCAGGCACATACTGAGAATTCAGTAAGGAACTGAGTTTTGCGTGATCACTTGCTACGAGCGTGGGTGGCGCTGTAGTGTGAGACATTGGCCTTTAAGATGATCTCGGCTTTCTGAGAAAGCTTCAACTGCTGTTTTCATTTCAGGATTCAGTATTGTACACAAGAAATCATTGTCTTTCGTGAAGACTTAGTGAATAAAATGTGCAGGAACTGTGTGCGTTTTCCTAGCAGCAACCTGGATATTCCTAATCACGTAAGTAACAGAGTCATCTTTGTTAAGCTGTCTTCCACGCTACTGTATGAAATTTTGTTGAGTCACGGGTAATGTGTCCTTGTGTTAGTGTTTATTTGTGGTGCAAGAGCATTTGTACACACTGCTGTGAATGCTAGCCAGGGGGTGTTTCTCAGCCTTCCACTGAAACTGTCCACTCCCGGCCAGAGAGGAGAGACAGGCACAAGCAAGATATTTTTTTGAGCTTTCTTTTTTTGCCTATAAAACCCTTAAATTGTACCTCAAAATATATTTGTTTAAATAAACTGTTTATATTTATGTTGATTACACGGATGTGTAGTATTTTATTTTGCAGTGCCAGTGGTCCCTGACCTAGAAGGGTACTTGAAAAATTTTGTGGAAAAACTGAATTCAAAGATAAGTTGATTTTGGTGCAAAACAAATCTAAAATCTCTGACTTGTCTTTTCGTGACACACACTTGCCATAAAATTCTGAAGACTCCCTCCCCCATCATAGAGCTGTCAACCCCTGCCTACGTGTGGACATCTAAGAAGTGTGGGATTAGAGCCTGTGGAACATTTTCATCATTCCTTTCATAATATTTCATTTACATAGCCTGAATATTGATCCTTGGTTTCACCCAAGCTATGAAGTTATTTTTCAATCAACAGAATTAATAAAATAGTTTATTGTACAGCTACAAATACAACTGATCCAGTATGACTCCTGAGGGAGTTGTTTTCATGGCTCACAGTATTAAATGAAAACCCTAGACCCTTGTCCCTAAAATAGAAGATATTTCCTTTCACTTGATACCAGTGTTTCCCAAAGTGCTCTGGTTCGAAGCTTTCCTAATTGTTTCTCAATTTTCCATGTTCTGTTGGTAATTAATATTCATTTGAATTCTTTGGCTATTTTCATGTTTACAAATTAACTGCAGTTTGTTTTCTTTCATAGTTTGTAAAGACTCTGTTATCCCAAGGCCATCTGACCCCACTACCTCTTTACGTCAGCCCGGTGTACTGGGCGTATGATTATACTCTGAGAGTGTATCCGGTGCCTGATCTACTTGTCATCGCAGACAAATATGACCCTTTCACTGTGACCAATACTGGATGCCTCTGCATAAACCCTGTAAGAATGTGCTTAACCTGGGATAGTTGTTATTTGTCAAGATTTGAGAACATTTCTTTCCATTTAAAAAATACTTAATGAAAGTATTGTTGGAGTAAAAACATGCAATTAATGAAACACTGAAGTGATATACACAGAAAATTCCTTACATTACTTTTAGTAAAGTATGACTATGTGACTGTAAAATGACTCTAGAAAAATGCATCTACATGAGTATTTTCCCCTTCAACGTAGCTTATAATGGGATACCTTTAATTTTTACATGGAAACTTTATTTCATAATGTTAAAGCCATTGGGAATTTCTACTGAAATATGACCGACTGAGCAAATACTTCATAAGCAGTGATAAAACACAGTTGTTTATGTCAAACATAGTAATACTTTCACAAGTCAGGTTTTTTTTTTTAAGATTTATTTATTTATTTGTAAGACAGTTACAGAGTGGGAGGGAGAGGCAGAGAGAGAGAGAGAGATCTTCCACCTATTAGTTTACTCCCAAATGACTGCAATGACCAGTGCTGGGCCAGGCTGAAGACAGAAGCCAAGAGCTTCTTCCAGGTCTCCTATGTGAGTGCAGGGACCCAAATACATGGGCCATTTTCTTCTGCTTTCCCAGGTGTGTTACCTGGGAGCTGGTTTGGAAGTGGAGCAGCCGGGTTTTGAACTGGTGCCCATATGAGATACCGGCACTGCAGGCGGCTGCTTAACCTGCTGGGCCACAGCACTGGCCCTTTACCAGTGATTTTTAATTTTCATGCCTCCTTGACTTGTGAACACAAGAGTTTAATACATCTTTCTTCTGGGTCATTCCTAGAAACACCATGCCCTGTTTATTATTTATTACTTTTTTCTTTGTAACATGTATTTTGGTTACTGCTTTTGTCAAACATATTTTGTCTGCCTATCTCTGAAATGGGACTTATCAACCCCAGCTCTTTTGACATTTCAGACCACATAATTCTGTCTTGTGTACCCCAGGAGGTGAGCAGTAGTAGCATCCTGCTGTTTTGCCAACCAAAAATGTCTCCAGATGTTTGCCAAGGGCCCCCTGAAGGATCAAGTCACCCCTGGTTGAGAACCACTTCTCTGAGGATGAACACAATTAACTGACTGCTTTCATTGCTTGAAATTCATGGCCTGATTTTTGCATAATCTTTATTTAAAAATATTCTCACTAGGCCGGCGCCGTGGCTCACTAGGCTAATCCTCCGCCTAGCGGCGCCGGCACACCGGGTTCTAGTCCCGGTCGGGGCGCCGGATTCTGTCCCGGTTGCCCCTCTTCCAGGCCAGCTCTCTGCTGTGGCCAGGGAGTGCAGTGGAGGATGGCCCAGGTGCTTGGGCCCTGCACCCCATGGGAGACCAGGAAAAGCACCTGGCTCCTGGCTCCTGCCATCGGATCAACACAGTGCGCTGGCCATTGGAGGGTGAACCAACGGCAAAGGAAGACCTTTCTCTCTGTCTCTCTCTCCCTGTCCACTCTGCCTGTCACACACAAAAAAAAATTCTCACTGGCACCAGCGCTATAGCACAGCAGGTTAAAGCCCCGACTTGCAGTGCCAGCATCCCATATGGGTGCCAGTTCAAGTCCTGACTGCTCCACTTCCAATCCAGCTCCCTGCTAGTGTGCCTGGGAAAGCAGTGGAGGATGGCCCAAGTGCTTGGGCCCCTGCATACATATGGGAGAACTGGAAGAAGCTCTGTGTGGGGAGCAACTGGGACTAGACTGTTACTCGAATTAAGACTTATTCTATGCATCTGCTCTCCCACAATATGGCGCTGAGAAGGGAGTAACAACTTCTACGCAGCTGCCTCTCGCCAACTTGAGTGATGACCTGCAGGAGCTGATCCTGCTCCTGATTGGTGGAGAGCAGCGTACTCGGCGTATGGGTAGCAGAGTTGGGATTGGTGGAAGAGGACTATAAAGGAGGAGAGAGACAACATGCACCAGGAACATCTAAGGGGAACATCTATCTGAAGGAACACCTGTGCAGCCCCCGAGAGAGCCGGCCGGTGGTGTGCCGCTCCCCCGCGGAAGTGGGGAAAGTGGCAGGGGAAACCGCCCTTCCACGGAGGTGGAAGGGTCGGTAGCCAACCCGGGAAGAACCAGCAGCAAACCCGGGGAGGGCCGAGCAGACAAAAGAACAGCGCAGGGTCCTGTGTTGTTCCTCCATGAAGAGGGGGAGCGACATACTGGTGCCGTGACTCGGATATGAAGCCTAGGCAGGGTTTAGTGTCGTTCCTCCATGAAGAGGGGGAGCGACATAATGGTGCCGTGACTCGGATAGGAAACCTAGGCAGGGTTTAGTGTCGTTCCTCCACGAAGAGGGGGAGCGACAGCTCTGGGCTCCTGGCTTTGGATCTGCTCAGTTGTGGTCATTTGGGGAGTGAACCAGTGGATGGAAGAGCTCTCTGTCTCTACTTCCCCCATTAACTCTTTCAAATAAATAAATCTTAAAAAAAACAAAACAAGGCCGGCGCCTTGGCTCACTAGGCTAATCCTCCGCCTTGCGGCGCCAGCACACCAGGTTCTAGTGCCGGTCGGGGCGCCAGATTCTGTCCCGGTTGCCCCTCTTCCAGGCCAGCTCTCTGCTGTGGCCAGGGGGTGCAGTGGAGGATGGCCCAAGTGCTTGGGCCCTGCACCCCATGGGAGACCAGGAGAACCAGGAGAAGCACCTGGCTCCTGCCTTCGGATCAGCGCGGTGCACCGGCTGCGGCGGCCATTGGAGGGTGAACCAACGGCAAAAAAAGGAAGACCTTTCTCTCTGTCTCTCTCTCTCTCACACTGTCCACTCCGCCTGTCAAAAAAAAAATAAATAAATAAAAAATTAAAACAAAACAAAACAAATATTCTTTCAAAATGAAGCTATTTCCTTATTTAAATTTAACTCTGTATATTCTCAAAGTTAATATTCTATTTAATCTTTTTTTTTTTTTTTTGACAGGCAGAGTGGACAGTGAGAGAGAGAGACAGAGAGAAAGGTCTTCCTTTGCCGTTGGTTCACCCTCCAATGGCTGCCGTGGCCGGCGCGCTGCAGCCGGCACACTGCGCTGATCCGATGGCAGGAGCCAGGAGCCAGGTGCTTTTCCTGGTCTCCCATGGGGTGCAGGGCCCAAGCACCTGGGCCATCCTCCACTGCACTCCCGGGCCACAGCAGAGAGCTGGCCTGGAAGAGGGGCAACCGGGACAGAATCCGGCACCCCGACCAGGACTAGAACCCGGTGTGCCAGCGCCGCTAGGCGGAGGATTAGCCTAGTGAGCCGCGGCACTGGCCATATTTAATCTTTAAAAAATGTTTTTCCTTTTTTATATCCTTATTTATATCTTCTCAGCAATGCCAAAATTTGCCCTTGGCTTTGTTTCATCCGTCTTGGTACTTCTGTTAGTGAACACCTGCTATGGGGTGGGCATTGGGTTGGGTGCAGGGGCTACAGAAGCTCCATGTGCTCAGTAACTAGTTGCATAGTAGCAGGCAACCGTGTGTGCTTACAGCTCAGTTGCTTTAGGGGCACGCGGAAGGGGCACGACTTTTGGAACCTGCTTGAGTGTCTGGGGTGCATGTTTAGCACTACACAGCACTGTTTATGTCTTCTACTAAGTCGTCACTCCGAAGCCTTTGCAGTCACCTTAGCCTTGGACTCTCGTCAACTTGAGACTTGCTCCACGTGGAGCTTACAGTAACACATTCTCTCTATGGAGAGCAGGCTAAAATCTCTCATTTTACACATTTTGTGGCTTTACTTTTGAGTATTAGATTTTAAAAATAGGGATTACTTTTTATAAAAGTAGGAATATTCACTTATAGCTATTTTTCTCTCCAAAGGGCTCTTTTCCAAGAAGTGGATTTTCATTCAAAGTTTTTTACCCTTCCAGCAAGACGGTAGAAGACAGGTAAGTGAGCCCACAGAAACGGCGAGGAGCCGCAAGCCTGCCAGTCCCTAGGTGTGCTGAGATTCTAAAAGATGCCCATTGAAGTGTTCTAGGCTGAGCTTCCTAGGGTCATGCCGTGCAACCCAGGACTGCAGGTGCTCGGGGGTACGTTTGTGTTAAACAGACAAAGAAGGGTTTTCTCAGGGCGTTCTCGGATGAGCGGTGGAGGTGGGCTCGTTCCTGCAGGCTGACCCCATGATGCTTCTTTTCCCAGACTCAGCCCTGCCCTCCATGTGGTGATTCTCAAAGCCTGGGGGCTCTACCTTAGACTGGTGAGGAGCCGGGTTGAGTGTGGCGATGGCTGGGGGCAGGGGGTGCAGAGTGGCCCTGGGAAAGAAGAAAGCGGTCTCCTGGCAGGTGTGGTTCCATGGGCTCACCTCCATACCACCTGCGTCACAGTCCTCGGTGGTCCTGTGAGCTCCCGCCTCTGGTGAAGAATGGGTGGCCAGTAGTTACACACCAGGTTCTCATCAGATACTAGAACCTGAATACACAGTGCAACTGTCTTTATTTATTTATGCAATGGACATATTTGTCTAAATAAAAATGCAAAGGTGAAACAAAAATTTCAAATAATTCTTAAAAGTATAAAATTGAGAAGATAAATAATCTGTGCTTTCCAACCCTGAAACCGTGATTAACAGCTTCTTTGTTTCTTGGGGGTAACATGTTACGCATATACTCTTGCTGCTCAGTACTCACGGGGGCCCAAGTCCATTCTTGAATTTCCTCTTGGGCTCTCTCCATTGACACGTACTTGATTCTTACTACATCCCAGGACCGCGTCAGTCTCGGGCAGTTCTTGGTTTGTAGGCAGACACTCTCATGAAGGTGGCAGTATCCTAGCCGCTCGCTCCTTGAGCCAAATGTGTTGGGGTTTTCCTAGCTTGCACCGATTTGGAATGGTTTTAGGTAAGGACACAAGCTCATCTCTAGCCTCACCTAGGACTCAGATGCTTCCGAGGACGTGTGTGTGTGTGTGTGTGTGTGTGTGAATGAGAGAGAGACTCCAGGATTAAGTCCTCTGAGGGTTGTCAGCCCGGGGCATGTAGTATCTTGACTACCTTTAGACCGACTTATATGGAGCTGACATTTGGTAATACCTACAGGCATAGAAAACTGTCTGCTATGGAAACCAGTTGTAGGAACCTAAGGTCTCCAGACGAGAGAAGTCCATTTACTGTCCCCTGAGGAAAGCTGTACCCCCAACAGATGTGCTTTGCTTTAACTGCTGGAAGCACAGTGCCGTTCGCCGACCGCCTGTGTGGCTGCAAGGACTTGCTGGCGTGAATGCTGGGTGCTAAGTCCTGGTCCTGCCCGTGTCTTGTTGGACTAGTTTTCCTCTTACCTGAAATTCCTCACTTCTACCATTTTATTACTTTTACCTCTAAAAGCCATCTTATATTCTTTTAAAATGAGTAGGTATTAAGTAAATAAACCATAACAGGAAACTAGTTGATTTACTAGAATAATATAAGGCACTTCAGCTACGTTTCTTAGTGTTGCCTGACTGCCATGCGCTTTAGATTTCTATTTCACGCTGACTTAGAAGTCACTTATGTAGCTGGCTCTTTTTGAAGTTTCTAGCATACTATCTAGCTTAATACTTGACATGTAATTGACTCACAATTTGTTGAGCTGAAATCGTTGGTTCCTTTATCTTCTGTGGCTCAATGAAAAAAGCCTTAACTTCCAAACTATAATTTAGTATTGGAAATTTAAGGAATCTTTTCTGTGCTGGATCAAACAAGTTGTCAACTTTATTTTTTGAGAGAAAAAGCTTTTTAAAGATAAAATAATCTCGTCTTCCTGCTACTTGGAGTTTCTCTTAGTGAGAAACACCTTAAGAGTGTTAGAAATGTAGTTAAAGCAGATCAGGCCGACACTGTGTCAATGTGTCCTTTTATTAAGAACTCAGTGTTGCCGGCACCATGGCTCAATAGGCTAATCCTCCACCTTGTGGCGCCGGCACCCCGGGTTCTAATCCTGGTCGGGGCGCCGCATTCTGTCCCGGTTGCCCCTCTTCCAGGCCAGCTCTCTGCTGTGGCCCGGGAGTGCAGTGGAGGATGGCCCAGGTGCTTGGGCCCTGCACCCGCATGGGAGACCAGAAGCACCTGGCTCCTGGCTTCGGATCAGCGCGGTGCGCCAGCTGCAGCGGCCATTGGAGGGTGAACCAACGGCAAAAAAAGGAAGACCTTTCTCTCTCTCTCTCTCTGTCCACTCTGCCTGTCAAAAAAAAAAAAAAAAAAAAAAAGAACTCAGTGGTGGGATGTAATAGGGAAATGCACATCTTCACAAAGTCAGAATGAAAAATGATAAAAAAAAAAAACTATTAAGGCAATTGGACAAGATTTCTTTTTTTTTTTTGACAGGCAGAGTGGACAGTGAGAGAGACAGAAAGGTCTTCCTTTTGCCGTTGGTTCACCCTCCAATGGCCGCCACGGCCAGCGCGCTGCGGCCGGCACACCGCGCTGATCCGATGGCAGGAGCCAGGAGCCAGGTGCTTTTCCTGGTCTCCCATGGGGTGCAGGGCCCAAGCACCTGGGCCACCCTCCACTGCACTCCCTGGCCACAGCAGAGAGCTGGCGTGGAAGAGGGGCAACCAGGACAGAATCCGGCGCCCCGACCGGGACTAGAACCCGGTGTGCTGGCGCCGCAAGGTGGAGGATTAGCCTAGTGAGCTGCGGCGCCGGCCATGGACAAGATTTCTTAAGACCTAAAATGCACATACCAGCAATTGTATTTCTAGAATTTATCATATGGGTATACTTGAAGTTATGCAAAAAAGTAGGTATGGTTGTTTTATTATAATTTTATAATAACAAAAGATCAGAAACAGAGTATTTGATTTTTATTTCTTTCTTTGAGAGAGTACGCCCCCATCTGCTGGTTTATAACCTAACTGCCTACAAAAGCTGGGCTGGGCCAAGCCAAAACTGGGAACTCAATCCAGGTCTCCCTTGTGAGTGGCAGAGGCCAAAACAGGAGCCAGCTGCCTCCCAGGGCGCACATTCGCAGGAAGCGGGTGTCTAGGAGCCAGGCCCTCTGATATATGACATGGGCATCTCAATTGGAGGTTTGATTGTTAGGTCAAAAGCCTGTCCCCCCTTATTTAGATATATAGTATCTGTGTATGCATACTCAGCACTTTCCTAAATTTATTTAAATTTCAGAGTTATAACTAGTTCAATTATGATCAATTTAATGTATTTGATAACTGAAAAAAATGGGGTATGTAATAATGTGCCTAATATTCTACCTTTTGTGTGTGTGTTTTAAAAGCATAAGCCCAAATAGTCACGTTAATATATCAGGCTTCCCTGGTCCCCCCCCCCCCCCCCAATTTTTCTCTGATTACATTGTAGAAATGTAGTGTGAGGTTATTGTTAGGAACCTCCTTTGAAAGTGAACAATGTTTAAACTTTTTAAAATTAACTACAACTAAATATGAAAAAATGTACAATTAGGTTCCAGAATGTTTAATGTTATGAATTTTTTCTATTTACAGCAAGCTTCAAGGCTTCTGAGATTCTTAAAGACCATCTGAAGAAACAGAACTCATAAATTTCCTGTTTTATGTAATTGTGACATTAATTTTAAATGAAATGATAAACACTGGGGCCAGCGCAGTAGTGTAGTGGGTAAAGCCACTGCCTGCGATGCTGGCCTCCCATATGGGCACCAGTTCAAGTCCCCGCTGCTCCACTTCTGATCAGCTCTCTGCTATGGCCTGGGAACGCAGTCGAAGATGGCCCAAGTACTTGGGTCCCTGCACCTGCATGGGAAGACTGGAAGGAAGCTCCTGGCTTTGGATCTGTGCAGCTCTGGCTGTTGCAGCCAATTGGGGAGTGAACCAGTGGATGGAAGACCTCTCTCTGCCTCTCCTCTCTGTGTAACTCTTTCAAATAAATAAATAAATCTTAAGTAAATAAATGAAATGGTAAATTTTAGAATGTTCTGCTTTGATTTGTATTTTATGAAAATTTTGATATTAAATTATGATGGTACACTTTACAAAGCTTTATAGGAAAAATATTTTCAGCAGCCTTTAAAGCCTTTGTTCTTAAAAACATTTGTCTTCATCATTGTTTTAGTCGAACTTGGGTTTTTATCACCATAAAACCCCTAACAGTATATTCAGCAACCTTTAAATCATTTAAGCCACAGAACTTACCCTAATGACAGTGAAAACTTGTTTCCGGGTATTTCCATATTCATGACCTAATTATCTTTTTGCACTAAAAACTTAAAAGCAGTCCCCGTAGCTGTTAGAAGATAGCGTTTGGTTTGAGTTCTTTTCCATTCTGGCCTGCTGTGATGTAATACCGCAGACTGGGAAATCAGGACCGAAACTGACTGGCTTACAGTTCTGGGCACTGGGAAGTGTGAACCTGAGGGGCTCGCATGCGGGGAGGGTCTTCTTGCTCCATCATCCCATAGCAGGGCGAAGACAGGAAGAGAGAAACCAAAGGGGCCTACTCCTCCCTTTACGAGGAACCCTAGCCTCCTTTCACTGGGCCTTCCAGGCCTGATTCCCTGCCCACCTCCCCCCTCCTCCGCCCCCGGCACTGGGGATCACCTTTCCTGCTCATCCTTTGCTGGGGCCACATGAAAAACCACAGCAGGAAGTTTCCTGTCCTGTGCGTGATCACTCAGCACCACCCCCTTGTTTAGGTTATGGAGCTGATGAAATGATAGTCTAGAAATGAATCTGAAAGGCAGCAAGCTGTTAGAGGTACAAAGAGTGTTCCAAACGAGTGGTCTTAAAAATTGCAAGAGCCTGGACTAGAAGATGTTTCTTTTTTAAATGCATGTTTATTTGAAAGATCAACAGAGATCTTTCATCCACTGGTTCAGTCTCCAAATGCCCACAACAGCTGGGGCTGGGCCATGCCGAAGCCAGGAGCCTGGACTTCAAGTGCATCTCTGTAGGCGGCTGTCGCTCCCCCTCTTCATGGAGGAACGACATAGGACCCTGCCTAGGCTTCATATCCAAGTCACGGCACCATTATGTCGCTCCCCCTCTTCATGGAGGAACGACACTAAGCCCTGCCTAGGCTTCATATCCAAGTCACGGCACCATTATGTCGCTCCCCCTCTTCGTGGAGGAACGACACAGGACCCTGCGCTGTTCTTTCGTCTGCTCGGCCCTCCCCGGGTTTGCTGCTGGTCCTTCCCGGGTTTGCTGCTGGTTCTTCCCGGGTTGGCTACCAACCCTTCCACCTCCGTGGAAAGGCGGTTCCCCCTGCCACATTCCCCACTTCCGCGGGGGAGCGGCACACCGCCGGCCGGCTCTCTCGGGGGCTGCACAGGTGTTCCCCTTAGATGTTCCTGGTGCATGCCGTCTCTCTCCTCCTTTATAGTCCTCCTCCGCCAATCCTAACTCAGCTGCCCACACGCCGAGTACGCTGCTCTCCTCCAATCAGGAGCAGGTCCTGCAGCTTGTCAAGTTGGTGAGAGGCAGCTGGGTAGAAGCTGTTGCCTCCTCTCCCATCGCCATATTGTTGGAGAGCAGATGCATAGAATAAGTCTTAATTCCAGTAACTCAGTCCAGTCCGGGTTGCTCCCCACAGGCGGCAGGGATCCAGGTACTTGAGATATCTACCACCTCCCAGGGTGTGCATTAGCAGGAAGCTGGACTGGAAGAGAAGAGGCACATCCCAAGCTCTGACTTAACCCTCTATAACACAACACCAACCCTTATCTCTAAGTAATTTCTCTGAAATAGATTTAAATTGGGGGGTGAGGGTGATCTATTAATTTAAAAATGACCATCATGAAGGGGAATTCCTTGAAAAGATTTAATCCGAATGTAGTGATGTGAAGTTAGCAAGAAGAAAGTGGCAATTTTCTATGTGGTTTGAGGGTGGAAAATTTCAGAGTATTAGAAGGGTTTCAATGCTAGAAGAGCAAGAGTATATATTTACTTTCAAGAGTAGTCTGGAAAAACTGAAGTTTACAGGCGGAATGAAGGCTTAGGAAAATGTAACTATAGGCCTGGAAAGTGGGCGTGAAATAGACACACAAGGTGTAGGTCCTGTTATGAGAACAGTAAATCTATATTTGATAGGTTATAAAAGGGCTGTCGATGTTGCACAGTGGATTGGACCACTGCCCTTGACGCCAGCATTCCATGAGTGCCAGTTCAGATACAGGCTGCTCCACTTTTAAGATTTATTTTATTTATTTGAAGGACAGAGTTACAGAGAGAGGTAGAGATACAGAGAATCTTCCATCTGCTGGTTCACTCCCCAAATGGCTGCAATGGCTGGAGCTGAGCCAATCCGAAACCAGGAGCCAGGTGCCTCTTCCTGGTCTCCCATGTGGGTGTAGGGGTCCAAGCACTTGGGCCCTCCTCCACTGCACTCCCGGGCCACAGCAGAGAGCTGGACTGGAAGAGGAGCAACCGGGACAGAATCCGGTGCCCATATGGGATTCCGGCGCCATAGGCAGATTAACCCAGTGCGCCACGGTGCTGGTCCCCATGAATAAATCTTTTTAAAAAAATCAGATAAAAGTATCCCTTCATTTAAAAGAAACTGTTTCTACAAGTAAAGTTGAGGTACTCTGAGGTCTTTTTAGGAACCGGTAGTGGCTACGAAGACAGGGTACACGTAAGCATTTGACAAGGGGAAGCGAGATAAGCAAAGCAGGTTACCTAAAGCAGGCCAGCTGCCAGACGCAAGCGCTAAGCACCTGAGTAAAAGTGGCAGGAGCCAGAACCAGTGCTGTCTAGAAATGAAAAGGAAGCTGCAGTCTGAAAGGTGGGGCAGCAGAGGAAGGCGGTGAAAGGCGTCCTGGGCTTCTGTTTGGGGAAGGACACAGACGGTGCCAAGGTCGGATTCTTGGCTGCTGTTCCTGACACCAGCTTCCTATTAATACAGACTCTTAGAAGCAGCGGGAATGGCACCCACATGGAAAATCTGGATTGAGTGCCCAGCTCCTGACTCCAGCCTTGGAAAGAGACATTTGGAGAGTGAACCAGCAAACGGGACACACTAAAAAACATCTTTGAGGAAAAAGAGATCCCCACCCCAGTTCCCTCATTTCCTCCCAATCACAATACCCATGGTCCCCGCAAAGGGCCATCACAAGACTGTCATTCTCTTTTTCTGTTTAAGAAAATTATTAGTAGGTATTACTTTAAAACTTGACAAACCAGTTGTATAGCCTGTTTTTTTTTTTTTTTTTTTTTTTTTTTACGATTTCTTTTTTTTTAAAGGATTTATTTATTTATTTGAAAGTCAGAGTTACGCAGAGAGAGGAGAGGCAGAGAGAGAGAGTGGTCTTCCATCAGATGGTTCACTTCCCAATTGGCCGCAACAGCCCCAGCTGCCCAATCCAAAGCCAGGAGTCAGAAGCTTCTTCCGGGTCTCCCACACAGGAGCAGGGGCCCAAGGATTTGGGCAATCTTCTACTGCTTTCCCAGGCCATAGCAGAGAGCTGGATTGGAAGTGGAACAGCAGAGACTTGAACCGGTGCCCATATGGGATGCCGGCACTGTAGGCGGCAGCTTTACCCACTATGCACAGCCCCGGCCCCAGTACAGCCTGGTTTTAAGCAGAGTTATTTAGCCAAGTTTTGCCTATTATACAGTGGTGTCATAACATATGCATTGTTTCACCATTTTCTTTTCTTTTTAAAAAAGATTGACTTGGCCGGCACCGCGGCTCACTAGGCTAATCCTCCGCCTGTGGCGCCAGCACCCCGGGTTCTAGTTCCACTGGATTCTGTCCTGGTTGCTCCTCTTCCAGTCCAGCTCTCTGGTGTGGCCCTGGAGTACAGTGGAGGATACTCCAGGTCCTTGGGCCCTGCACCCGCAGGGCAGACCAGGAGGAAGCACCTGGCTCCTGGCTTTGGAGCGGCGCAGCGCACCGGCTATAGCAGCCACTTGGGGGGGGGTGAACCAATGAAAAAAGGAAGACCTTTCTCCCTGTCTCTCTCTCTCTTACTGTCCACTCTGCCTGTCAAAAAAAAAAAAAAAAAAAAAAAAAAAAAAAAAAAGTTGACTTATTTATTCCAAAGGCTGAATTACAGAGAGGGAGAGATAAAAACAGATCTTTCAAATAAAAATAAATAAATAAATAAATAATAAATTAAAAAACCCAGATCTTTCATCTGCTGTTTCACTCCCCAAATTGCTCCAATAGCAGAGGCTGGGTCAGATCTCTCTCTGCCTCTTTAACTCTGCCTTCCAAATGAATAAATCTTAGATAAATAATCTTCCTATAAAAAGATAGCGTTATGCATATCTTTAGACTTCCAGCAGTAACAGCTCTTCCCAAGTGGGCCAGCTGCTTCATATCCTCAAGGGACAATGATTTTATGTTCTGCTGCAGCGTGGGGAACACTGACTTAGTGATAACCTAGATAGTAAGTGCAGAAATGTGGAATAATTATCTAACAAAAGGACTTGACATGGATGGCATTTAAAGGTGTGGGCTCAGATAACATCGTAAAAGGAAGTGATTAGATGAGAGGGTGCTGGACAGAGCCTTGAGTGATCCGCACACTTAGAGAACTGGCAGAACTGCTACAAAGCCGGAACAGGGGAGCTTGGCATTCTGTAAGCCAAGAGAAAAATAGGCGTGAAGCCCAGGACGGTCTCCTGCTTTGAATGCTGCCAAGAGATCATATGCAAGACAGGGATTTGGAAAAGGAGAGAAGTCAGGAGTTCTGGTTTTGGTTGTTTCGAGCTTGAGAGACAATGAGTAATTATTCAATGAGATGTCAAATGGGCAGCTGGGTACAGGAGTCTGAAACCCAGAACCCGAAGTATGGGGTCGCCGTTGTGGTATAGCAGGTTAAGCCACCGCCTGCAGTGCTGGCATCCCATATTGGCATCTGGTGGAATCCTGGTGGGCTCCACTCCACTTCTGATCCAGCTCCCTGATGTGCCTGGGAAAGACGGCCCAAGCACTTGGGCTCCTGCACCCAGGTGGGAGACCC